TAGAGAAAAAATTCATCCGACCGAGTTCGTCACCGTTCGCCGCACTGATACTGTTCACACCGAAAAAAGACGGAGGGTTTCGCATGTGCATCGATTACAAGGCACTGAACAGTGTAACAGTCAAGTCGCAATACCCCATTCCCCGCGCCGACAAACTGATCGATCAGCAGCGAACAGCACGGGTCTTTTCGAAAATAGATTTACGGGGAGGTTATCATCAGATTAGAGTCAAACCATTGGACTGCGCCAAGACGGCTTTTAGGACTAGGTACGGGTCATTCGAGTACACTGTGATGCCATTCGGGCTGACCAACGCACCGGCGACATTTTAAATGGCCATGAATGAAGCGTTTAGGCCACTAATAGATAAATGTGTGATAGTTTACCTCGACGACATCCTCGTCTACAGTCGCGACAAGCAGCAGCACTTAGCAGATGCGAGAACCGGCTACTGACAAAGGGTTCCAAGTGCAAGTTCTTTCAGGACAGGCTAGAGTTTTTGGGGCACGTTATTTCGGAGGCTGGGGTCGAAATTGACCCAAAGAAGCTGGACACGGTACAAGCGTGGCACCCCCCGACGAATATCACGGAGCTGCAACGTTTTTTGGGGTTTGTAAATTATGTGCGTCGGTTCTCCCCGACATGGCACGCTTAACAGCACCACTCATGGACTTACTGCGAAAGGGGGTCGTTTTTACATGGGGGGAGAAAGAGCAGGCTGCCTTCTCTGCCCGTACTGCACATCGCCAACCCACACCACCCATTTGAAGTAGTTACAGACGCCAGCGACATCGCCATCGGAGCCGTACTGCTACAGGACTTTGGCAACGGCCTACAGTCCATCGCATACGAGTCTCAAAAACTGCATCTGCCTGAGAAAAATTACCCGATACACGACCGCGAAATGCTCGCGATCGTGCACGCATTCAAAGTGTGGCGCTGTTACTTGACCGGCGCAGACGGGACAGTGCGGACATACCATAAATCACTACAGTACCTCCGCGCACAGCCACACCTCAACCCACGACAGATCCGCTGGCTCGATTTCCTCGAGTCCAATTTTCACTACACAGTCACCTACAAAAAGGGGGCATCGAACATCGCCGACGCACTGACCCGCTCCACTGCCCAGATCCACGCGATACTACTTGCCCAGACTAGCCCACTACTGAAAGGACTACTCACCCATGGGTATCAAACGGATCCATTCTTCACAGGAGGAAATTCGCAGCAGTTCGTAGCAGCAAAAGGAGTTTATTACGTAAAAGCCGGCACCGACCGCATCTGGGTACCGGGGTATTCACTACTACGGGAATTACTGTTACAGGAGGCACACGACGGAGTTACCTCAGGACATTTCGGGGTAGAGAAAACACGGCAGCAGCTGCAGCGGTATTATTACTAGCCCGAGATGTTGACCGACGTTCGACACGTGGCATTGTGTCCCATTTGCCAGCTCATGAAATCATCACAGAAGCGGCCGGCAGGACAGTTGTAGCCGATACCACCCCGAGAGCGTGCTTGGCAGCAGGTGACGATGGACTTCGTCACGGGGTTACCGGCCGGAGCGAATGGGAACGACACGATCCTGGTCGTCGTCGATCGACTGACGAAAATGGCACATTTCGCAGCCTGCAAGAAATCGATCACAGCCGAAGAAACAGGCCGCCTCTTCATCGCCACCGTCGTTCGACTACACGGGATACCAGCGGCAATAATCAGCGATCGTGACATGAAATTCACCAGCAACTTCTGGCGGAACCTGTGAAGAAATGAGGAATGAAATGAACTAGCAAAGAGGTGGGTACAAGTAGGAAAACCTAAAAATGTTGTACCCCATATTGTCTACCCCACTACAGCCTACACAGACTATAGCATATGAGTTTGACACACTCCCATAGGCAAAGTGGGGGAGAACAAGAGGTCACAAGACCAGTCAAGCAAAGCAAAGCAAGCTCAGGGTGGATCACAACGTCACCACACAGTCCGAGCACAAGTTCAAGGCCACAAGGCCAGTTCACATGCAAGATCATGTATAAAGGTAAACAAGCAAGTGCAAGTATAGAAAGATCACAGTACAAGCAAGGTCAAGAAGTGAGCAAGTGAGGCCAAGTAGGCACAAGACCTAGCATCGTACAGAAGCGCTGATGATCACAAGGCGGAAGTGCCTTGGTAAAGATATCAGCAGTGTTGGCCTCAGAGGCCACGTAAGCAAGGCGCAGCTGACCACGCTGCTGCAGCTCACGAGCAAGGAAGTAGCGAAGAGCAATGTGCTTCGTTCTGTGCTCCAGTCTGTGCTCCCGACACAAGGCCAGCATGGCCTTGTTGTCTACGTACAGAACTGGAGGAGAACGAGGCGGCTCTCCTAGGTCAGTCAGCAGGTAGGTGAGCCAGCGTAGCTCCTGTGCAGCCATGGCCCCCGCGTAGATCTCAGCCTCATAGCTGGAGCCGAGAACAGAAGAAGAGCGGGTAGACCGCCACGAAACAAAGCCGGAACCAAGGCTGAAGGTGTAACCCTGTGACGACCGCTGCGTAGCCTGGTCGTCAGCCCAAGAAGCGTCTGTGTGACCTGTGAGGACCACTCGACGTCGCCCTCCAAGCACTAGCCCCATGCCCGACGTACTGCACAAGTAGCGCAACACCCTCTTCGCTGCAGCCATGTGCTCTGGTCGGTGTCTCCCAGGAGCAACATAGCGTGCCAAGATGCTAAGAGGGTATGCAAGGTCAGGTCGAGTGCAGGTCATCAGGTACATGAGGCAGCCAACAAGCTCTGGGTACGGGCCACTCGGCTCTACGGACTCATCCGAAGGCAGAGCTGAGAGCGAGTGGCGAGTAGACAGAGGAGTGGCCTGAGGCGAGGAGTACGTGAAGTCGAAGCGCTGAAGGACCTGCTGCACCATGTGTGACTGAGTCAGGGTAATGGTGCGCTGTGCTCTGTCCCGGGTGATCTGCAAGCCAAGGTAGCAGCGCAGTTCACCCAGGTCTGTGCACGTGTGTCTCTTCTGCAGCTCGGACTTCACGTGGGCGAGTCCAGCAGTGTCAGCAGTGGCAAAGACCAAGTCGTCGACATACACGAGGATGTAGAACGGCGGCAAAGAGGTGTCGGTGCGCAGAAACAGCGACGGGTCGGCAGTAGAAGGAGCAAACCCAAGAGCCGCAAGTGTAGTCCTCAGTGTGTCGTGCCACTCACGGGGCGCCTGGCGGAGACCGTAGACTGGCCGCCGGAGGCTCCACTGGGTACCAGGAGGAAACGACCCAGTGAAGCCAGGTGGGCGGCGCAGCCAGATCTCCTCGTGCAGGCTGCCCTGCAAGAAAGCAGTGCTGAAGTCAAGAGAGTGAAGCTCGTAGTCGCGCTGAGCGGCTATGTGCAGCAGCACCCGAAGAGTGGTCATCTTCGGGGTGGGAGAGAAGGTCTAAAAGTAGTCAACTCCCTGCCGCTGACTGAAGCCTCGAGCCACGTAACGCGCCTTGAAGACAGGCGGAGAACCCGGCGGCCGCTTCACCCTGAAAATCCACATGCCACTGACGATGTTCGCCCCAGGTGGGGGAACCTCGTCGACGTAGGTACCTGTGGACTTCCAAGAAGCCATCTCTGCGTCCATGGCTGACTGCCACTGTGAGGAGTAGGGACCCTCGATCGCCTCAGCGTACGATCGAGGAGTCGGGATGTCTAGTGCATCCGGGTCTCCCTCAGGGGCAATCAGCGTGGACACGAGATGAGGCAAAGCAGCAGCAAAACACTGAAACTCCTCCTGCCTGTCCTCAAGGACGTCCGTGCTAAGAGCACACTCACCCCCGACGGACGGAGGACAGACAGACTCAGACTTAGCAACAAGACTAGCAGCGTAGTCTAGACGACAGCGAGCAGCAAAGTCAACAAGCTCAGCAACCAAGGCAGACGCAGCAGTGGACTCAAAGGAAGGGTCAGTGACAACAGTAGCCAGGAGACGCGTGACAGTAGGACTGGCAGCACGAAGAGAGTCAGACTCCGGGTCAGCAAGGACAGGAAGAGAGGACTCTGGAGGAGACGGCAGCGGGACACGCAGAGGAGCAGTGGAAGGACGCAGTGCCATCTGGTGTGTGCCTGGGACCGCAGGAGGACGCGGACGCGGAGCACGACTACTAGTGCGAGCAGCACGAACAGGCGACGCAGGACGAGACGCAGGCTCACGACGCTCAGCAAGACCTCCAGTAGGACCAGTGTAGGGAGAAGGAGCAGGTAGGGGGGAGGCGGGCTGTAACTGTGACCGCGACTGGACAGGCTGTGGACACTCTAAGGGAGGAGCAGTTCCAGTAGAGGGCGGGAGACCAAGAACCTGCTAAAGGAGCGGAACGAAGTACGGCCGCGGCCGCGTAGTGCCTCCAGAACCAGCAGGGACAGCACCAGTACCCCCAGCGGCAGCACCAGCGCCAGCAGCACCTCCAGCTCCAACAGCGCCAACTCCAGCACCCTCAGAAGCACCAGCGCCAGCAGCACCTCCAGCGCCAACACCCCCAGCAGCTCCAGCTCCAGCAGCTCCAGCAGCACCAACTCCAGCAGGACCGCCAGCTCAAGTACCGCCAGCAGCTCCCGCGGTACCTCCAGCAGGACCATCTCCAGCAGCCCCAGCAGCACACCCAGTCCCAGCAGCTCTAGTACCGCCAGTACGAGCACCTCCAGGACCAGTGGCTCGAGTAACTCCAGTGCCGACTCCAGGGTCAGCAGCAACCGTAGCACCTCCAGCTCCAGCAGCACGGCTCCAGCGCCGGGCAAACCACTCGCGCAGCTCCTGTGGAGAGGGTAGCTCCCGCCGAGACGAAGCACCCGAAGGACCCCCAAACCCAGCACCGCCAGAGGCCACACGAGCAGACCCAGCACCCCCAGGCTCCGCACCCCCAGGCTCAGCACCCCCAGGCTCCGCACCCCCAGGCTCCGCAACTCCAGGCTCCGCACCCCCACGCTCCGCACCCCCAGGCTCAGCACCCCCAGACTCAGCACCCCCAGGCTCAGCACCCCTAGACTAAGCACCCGCAGGCTCAGCACCCCTAGCAGCACCAGAGTCAACAGCTACCTCGACAGGCTCGACTGCGTCTACCTGGGACACACCTGACGGGGCAGGACCCTGAGGGGGGAGAGGGTCTACCGGGGGAGGACCTGGCGCAAGGAAGAGCGGCGGCGGGGGGAGGGGCGCAGTGCGGTAGGAGAAGAGACGGTAGTAAGGCACCGACTCGTCAAACGTGACGTCCTGGGAGGACAGAACACGGCGCGAGGTGGGGTGGTAAAACTGCCAACCAGGCGCGTCAGGGGGGAAGCCAAGGAAGACGCAGGGAACCGCACGGGGAGACAGCTTGTCCGCAGACAAGTCGCGGACAAACGCCCGAGATCCCCAGACCCGAAACGCAGACGCATCGCCAACCTTCCCCGTCCACCTCAGGGTGGGGGAGGTCTCCGGCAAGGAGACTCGGGGCTGAAGGTTGATCTGATGCGCTTCGTACCGAACCGCAAACGGCCACAGAAAATGGGGAGCAGCCGCATGGATCATGGACGTACGAGCGACGTCCATGACCATGCCAATGCGGCGCTCAGCAATCCCATTTTGCTGTGGAGAGACCGGAAGCGTGAAGGTCTGGCGGATGCCCTGTGCACGACAGAAGGCTCCTAGAAGGGCAGAGGAAAACTCCCCGCCTCTGTCAGAGTGCAGACGCAGAACAGGAAAGTCCGAGCCGAAACTCTCTCTGAGCTGGAGACGAGCTGCGCGGATCCAGTCGATCAACACCCCAGTGACGTCACCCTTGCTGCGCAAGGGGAACACCGTGGTGTAACAGGATTAGTCGTCAACCACCAACAGGAAGTAACGCTCGTGACCCTGGCCACGGACGCGGGCCGGGCCCCACACGTCCATGTGAAGAGTCTGCAGCGGAGCCTCTGTCGGAGGAAACTTGGAGGAGTGAGGGGCGGCGCGCTGCCGCCCCTCGACACAGGGATCGCAGGTAGGGGCAGGCCCCGGAGGGAGGGGAGGGAGGGACCGGGGGAGACCAGAGACAAGGACACGGGAGGCCATACATCGGAGACGAGGCAGGGAGGGGTGACCAAGACGGTGGTGCCAGAGGAGAGTCTGGTGGGACAGGAGACGACACGAGCAGGGAGCAGACTCAGGACCAGACCTGGACACTGCAGCAAACACCTGACTCGACGCAGCTACCTGACCAGACTCAGCAACCGGAGGGGACGCAGTAGTCAGTGTGTACAGGCTCGACCCCGGCCGACGGGTAAACGTGGCCAAGTGTCGGCCCGTCCGAGCACACGTACAGTGGGTCACCCGCTGACCCGCAGGAGTGAACTGGTCAACCCCCCCATCCTGTAGGTCAGCACCACTCACCAAGTTCGTAGAGAACGAGGGGAGGTAGAGACCTGACAGGGTGCCAGAGGGGGCTGCCGGACACGGTAAGATAGTGGAGAAGCGAGCAAGGACAGGACCCCCAGAGGGGTCCGCCAGGGAGACCGCAACTGGCCGACTAAGCGGCGTAAGCGTGGTGCGGTCTCGAAAGAAGGAGCGGGAAGCACCCGAGTCAAGGGTGAAGGTGTGTAAGGCCTGAGCCGACGTGATACCTGAGAGAGCAGACTCACCAGCACCTGGGGCAGCAGACGCACGAGCACCTAGAGCAGCAGCCTCACCAGCACCTAGAGCAGCAGCCTCAATGCCCGGGTCAGGCGGAACACACAGGTAACAGTCACCCTCATCACTAGCAGACACAGCATACATGGCAGCAAGAATAGCATCATAATCAAGATCAAAGATAGCAACCCCCGCCCTAGACAGCTCTCCCCAGCGAGGGATCTCAGTGGCGTCAGGGAACTGGTGAAGCCAAGCGTCCGTCAGGCGGCCGAAGCAGCGCTGGGTGGAGTGCGAGCCCCCGCACTGCTCACCAGCGCGGTCGCCGGTACGGAGGACGTAGGTACAGGGACCAGTACCCCCACCTCGCTGACGCGCAGCGTACCACTCACGAAGCTGCTGGGGGGACAGGGTCTCACGAGTGCGCTGCTGCAGCTGGCGCGGACCACCACCGGAGCCACTCCTCTGCGTAGAGCCGCGACCAGCTCCACCGCTGCCGCCGCCGCCTCCGCCACTTCCGCCGCCGCCGCTCCCACCGCCACCGCCGCCGCCTCCTCCGCCTCCACTGCTGCCACCGACACCTCCACCCCCGCCACCACTCCCACCACCACCCCCACCCCCTCCACTGCCTCCACCGCCACCTCCACCGCCCCCGCCAGCCCCTCCAGCGCCCTTGCCCCCCTTGCCCTTGCCGGTGCGGCGTCTCCCGCTAGGGGCAGACGCAGCTCCGACCGACTCGAAGCCAACGAGGTTGACGGCAGCAGCAGAGGCAACAGAGGGCAACAGGGGGAAGGGGGAGCACCCCTCAAAGAAGGGGGCACGAGGGTCACCACGAGAGGCTCCTACAGCGACTATACTCTTCTCAGCTGCCAGGAGGCGCTCCTCGAGGAGGTCAACGGTGAGTGTGGTGGGGCAAACAGAGAGGAAGTGGTCCCTGACCGAGTGAAGGGAGTCAGGGAGCCGGGTGACTATGTAGTAGAGGGTGATGTACATGGGGGGGGGGTTCTTGGCGCAGAACTCAGCAGGAAGCGCAGCACGGTAGCGGGTGTCACTAGTGCGAAGGTGCGTAATGAGGTCAGCGACAGTGGGAAAGGCGGCGAGGTCAGGGAACAGGTACGGCAGCATGAGGCGGCTAAGGGCAGCAGTGGCAGGGGAAGAGTAGCGTGCAACTACAGCGTCGTACAAGGTCTTAGCACTCTTGTACTGACTAAAGTGCGCACGCTCAGTGGTCGGTAAGTGGCGACGCACAGCAAGACGGGCAGCAGCATCGCGGGTGGCCCACTGTGAGCGAACAGTGCTGGCAGGAGAGGCACCAGAGGTGAGATCGAACAGGGAGAGTCCGTCTGCCCTATCGCACTGTAGGAAGAGCTGTAGGTCATCGACCCAGACCTCGAAGTCAACAGCACGACCCTCAGCATCAAAGGTAAGTACACTGAGGGTAGCCATGACAGCAGTGGTCTAGCAGGGAGTGCTCTCACCAGTCCGGGTGGGTAGGGCCGGGGCGCGCCGGAAGGAACAGTGCGGTAACCGCGGTGGCAGCGGCTCGGCAGTGGCTCGGTAGTGGCGGCTCGACGGCGGCCTCGGCGGCTCGGCGGCTCGGCGGCTCGGCTGCTGGGCGGCTCGGCGGCTCGGCTGCTGGGCGGCTCGGCGGCTCGGCGGTTCGGCGGCTCGGCTGCTGGGCAGCTCGGCGGCTCGGCTGCTGGGCGGCTCGGCTGCTCGGCTGTTCGGCTGCTTGGCGGCTCGGCGGCTCGGCGGCTCGGCGGTGAAGGGGCCGGGGAGGGGCCGAAAGGGGCGGCGACGGGGCCGCAAGGGGCGGCGACGGGGCCGCTAAGGGCGGCGACGGGGCAGCGAGGGGCGGCGACGGGGCCGCGAGGGGCGGCAACGGGGCCGCTAGGGGCGGCGACGGGGCCGCGTAGGGGCGGCGACGGGGCCGGTAGGGGCGGCGACGGGGCCGCGTAGGGGCGGCGACGGGGCCGGTAGGGGCGGCGACGGGGCCGCGAGGGGCGGCGACGGGGCCGCGAGGGGCGGCGACGGGGCCGCGAGGGGCGGCGACGGGGCCGCTAGGGGCGGCGACGGGGCCGCGTAGGGGCCGCGAGGGGCCTGGAAGGGCGGCGACGGGGCTGCTAGGGGCGGCGACGGGGCCGCGAAGGGGCCTCGAGGGGCCTAGAAGGGCGGCGACGGGGCCGCTAGGGGTGGCGACGGGGCCGCTAAGGGTGGCGCGAGGGGCCGTGAGAGGGGCCTCTAGGAGGGCTCGACAAGAGGGCGGCCCACGGGGCGCGCCTCGGGCAGGGGCGACTCGCGCTCCGGTCAGAAAAAAGTCGATTTCAGTGGTGGGCCTTGAGAAGCGTTCCCACTAGGGAACCTGCTCTATACCATGTGAAGAAATGAGGAATGAAATGAACTAGCAAAGAGGTGGGTACAAGTAGGAAAACCTAGAAAAGTTGTACCCCATATTGTCTACCCCAATACAGCCTACACAGACTATAGCATATGAGTTTGACAGAACCTGTGGCAGCAGTTTGGCACGCGACTACAGTTTAGTTCTTCGTACCACCCCGAGACCGACGGACAGACAGAAAGGACAAATCAGACCATGGAACAACTCATCCGAGCCACGTGCAACGACCCGACCACTTGGAAACAACAGCTGCCACTTATCGAATTCGCATACAACAACTCGCCATCCGCCACCACCCAACAGTCACCGTTTTACCTGAACTACGGACAAGACCCGACAGTACCCATGACCCCAAATCCCGACAACCCGGTGCCATGCGCGCAACAGTTCGCCGAAATTTTGCAAGCAGCACGGACCAGAGCAGCAGACACAATTAGAAAAGCTAACGTCATCGCTAAACGCAACGCCGACCGCCACCGCAGACCCGTCACTTACCAGCCCGACGACCTAGTCTTACTCGACACCCAGAACCTCCGCCTGCCCATCACCCCAAAACTTTGCCCCCGATATTGCGGGCCATTTCGCATCAGCCACATGATCACACTCGTCACCGCCCACCCCGGCCTCCCTGCTGACTGGTACGTCAGCCCGTCCTTCCACGTCAGCCTACTTCGCCCTTACGTGCCATCCACCAGCCAACTACCTCGCAACCGCCCAGCCAGCATGACACGACCACCCACCGAGCCAATAATCTCACCCGAGACGATTTTGAGCCACCGAGTTCGTGACCCACGGGGAGCTCGCAGGATCGAACTTCTGATCCGCTGGAAAAACCGCACGCCACAGAGGACAACTGGGTCCCCCTGGATATAATTGAGAATCACCCAGTTCTCACCGAGTAGCTGCGCAGCCGAAACTTCCGGGATGTACACGCGCTTTTGTAAGGAGGTCCTCCTTAGGGGGGGGGGGTAGTGTAAGGAAAATTTCTTTTCCTTACTTTGCGTCCCTGCTCAGCGCGTACACCACTGTTCCCGCCAACAGCACCCAACAGTAATCCATTACCACTCGCGACACCCGCCTCGACACTGTTCCCGCCACTGTTCACGACGCGACCCAACCTCACGGTTCGGTTGGTTACCCGCGCTCCGGACCTCCGCCTCGACATTTCCCAACCCTCGGCGCTAGGCCCGTCGCACACCCCATTTTCCCACATTACCGTTACCACCGTAGTTTCGCTATATATTCTTCGCTCATGCCTTCGCTCATTTGAACTTGTTGCTTCGATATTGCAATTCTCGCGCACTCACTCGATTGCACTTGTAACGGAATGCCACAACTTGAGAAAATTTCGGGACGTCTTCTAACTCATGTTATGACTCGGAACTTTGACTTCGTATCGTATATCAAGTCAGCAACGCCCTGATTCTGGTTTCCGTGGTCCCCAGCCCCACGCAATCCTGACGTGGTGGTGTCGCATTGGCTGGTGAAATTTCTTTGAGATCGTCCTATGTTTTTTATCCACGTCATCAGCAGGCTTTGCAACTCGAGTGTGAAATTAACCAGAACTTTTTTTATCTGTATACTTTCACCCCGTCTCGGGCAAACGTTAACGCGACTCGGCTATTTGACCCCGTGAAATTACCGGAGGACAGTTGTAGTTCCGGATGGAACACGTGGCAAGCCACCTGGCTAAACAGTTCTGCACTGTGGCGGTGGGGTTCAAGATTAGGTGCATGGGATGGGCTGAACTGAACAACTACAACAACCACCCGATGGAAAACTAAAACGAAAAAATCACGCTGGTCTAAAAACTTAAAATGAAAACAACCTGGGCGAATGTAAGAAAATGTCATTTTCCTTACTTCGCGTACATGACTGTGCCCGTCAACAGTAACCCAACAGTTCGCCGTTACCACACGCGACACGCGCCTTGACTATTGTTCACGCCACTATTCACACCGCACCCAACCCTCACGGTTCGACGGGTAACTCACGCTCCGGTCCTCCGCCTTGAAAATTCCCAACCTCGGAGCTAGGCCCGTCTCGCACCCCACATTTCACTCGTTACCGTTACCACCGTTAGTTCGCTATTTAACATTCGCTCATTCATTCGCTCATTGTACCGTTTTGCTTCGATAGTGCAATCCTCGTTCGCTCACTCAATTGCACTCATAACACTTGATATTCAGAGCGACCGCACCCACAGCCTTCACTTCCACAACTTATCTCATATTTTTGGAGGGGGTAGACGTCCCTCAGCGACCAAGCACCACTGCTCGTGTGCTCTCTCGTAAGCACACATAGCAACGACTGAGGCTCTCGCTAAGCTAGCCCCACACCCCCGCTATGGACGAGAACGCCCGCATTCCACTCGAAGGCCTGACGCAAGACCGCCTGGACGAAATCGTGCGCCAATTGCAAGAATCGGCACTCAAAATCAGGATATTGACGGTGGATCACAACTCCGCGCTTCAGCAATCATCGGCGAGTGCATCAGCACAAGGACCTGTGAATGGAACCACCAACACTGACGAACTAATTCTCATCTAATCAAGAACACCGTCGCAATACGGCAGCGTGGGACAGCGCTCCGGTGCAATCGGTGATGGCGCCGCCCAATCCATGCCGGGCATGGAACGAGCCAGGGAAATGCCGGCCGCGAGCACACCACGCAAGGTCCAACGCCGCGTCAGCATCACGGAACCTATCAACAACACCGACATTGGTAAGCCGATGCCGCTCAAGCCGCAGCACCCGGCCTGCTTCGATCCTAGCAGCGTGGAGGCTCGACCGTTCAATCGTGGATTTTCATGATAAACGTATTTGTTTACGCGAACTACGTCATATCAGATGCAGCGAAGATCTGGTGAGCCGTTTCTTTACTGCGCGGACCCGCCATGGACTGGTGGCGAGTTATCGAAACGTCGTAGAGCCACTGTCGCAAGAGGAAAGGCCCTCGGACCCAGCCGTAAACTGGAGTTCATTCTGCGAAGTTGCCCAATACAGCACATGGGACGCGTGGTGCGCAGGGCTTCGGGCGCGCTTAGAGCCGATCGCGGCTTTGATTTCAGCACGTCAGAAGCTGTGCACTTGGCGGCAGCTTGGGTCGGTTCAAGACTACACCAGCAATTTTTGCGTTGTGCGAACATGTTGGCCACATGCACGAAGCGGAGTGAGTGGATCGTTACGTCGGCAGCTTGAAGCCGAAAATCTCGCAGGAAATCCTACTCTGCAAAATTTCGAACTTCAACGAAATCCTGGCGCTCGCCGAGAAGATTGACATCCTACGCTGTTTGAGACTGGGGTCCTACTACGGACATCGTACTCGGGGACCGACCGAGCACGCCACTGTACAAGTTGTTGCAACGAGCGCAGCTGCTGCGCCATTTAAGGGGTGTTGCTTCGAGTGCAACAGGCCGGACCACCGCAAGAGCGAATGCCCAGATGAGCTAACGTGCTGAGGAGCAGAGCAGGGGAGGGAGTCCGGGAGGCAGGGAAAATCCAACAGTCAGTGGAGTACGGGCCCACTACTGACGAGACTCACTGCTCGCCCGACCTCGCTGACCCTTACCGAGTGACTGTACCGATTCACGCAATCGATCGCGCTCGGCTGAATAAGGAGGGTACAGCGACAGATTGCCTAATACCGGTTCACAGGAAAATACGGGGGGTAGCAGTGAAGATTTTTATTGACGACGGAGCAAGACATTGCTTAGTTAATACCGCGACTGTAAGGACACTACAACTGACGCTTAGCCGGTGTTTACCGGAGATAGACGCACGCTTGATTCGCGGCATGCCGCTGGTCTCGCCAAGCAGCCCGCCAGATGCAGCAGCGGCGGTGTTGCTCCCTGCAGCGTGGCGGAACTGCTGGCCTGCGCCAGCAGCAGCAGACGTCAGCCCAGCGGTCTCGCCAAGCAGCCCGCCAGATGCATCAGCGGCGGTGTTGCTCCTTGCAGCGTGGCGGAACTGCTGGCCTGCGCCAGCAGCAGCAGACGTCAGCCCAGCGGTCTCGCCAAGCAGCCCGCCAGATGCATCAGCGGCGGTGTTGCTCCCTGCAGTGTGGCGGAACTGCTGGCCTGCGCCAGCAGCAGCAGACGTCAGCCCAGCGGTCTCGCCAAGCAGCCCGCCAGATGCAGCAGCGGCGGTGTTGCTCCCTGCAGCGTGGCGGAACTGCTGGCCTGCGCCAGCAGCAGCAGACGTCAGCCCAGCGGTCTCGCCAAGCAGCCCGCCAGATGCATCAGCGGCGGTGTTGCTCACTGCAGCGTGGCGGAACTGCTGGCCTGCGCCAGCAGCAGCAGACGTGCGCCCAGCGGTCTCGCCAAGCAGCCCGCCAGATGCATCAGCGGCGGTGTTGCTCCCTGCAGCGTGGCGGAACTGCTGGCCTGCGCCAGCAGCAGCAGACGTGCGCCCTGCGGCATTGGCGGAACTCTGGCGGGCCGCCTGACCTGCTCGCCGCCCACCCGACCGGCCCTGACTTCCGGAACGCAGAGAATGGTGAGCAGATGGCGTTCCCACGCCATTGACGTGAGCGGAAGTCGCATCACCACGCGAGGCCGGGATTTGTGGAGCATGACCACTGGTGTTGAGCGGCCGATTCTCCTCGTGACGCGGCTGACTTCCTACCGCGTCGGAAAACACAGCGTGTAAGGAGCGCGTCCGAACAGGACCTGCACAAATGAGATCCAGCAACAATGTGTCAATATCTCTCATTGGCCTGCGGAATCAACACAAGGAAGCTAGAAACAGAGCGTAAAATGGTGTGCAACAAAACAACATAAAAAAACTCACTTTTCGGAGAAGATGGTCGAGCCGCCACGTTGATACCGAGAGAGGTAGCATGTCCCATCGATGCAGCACGAATTGCCTGGGTTCCGGGCATCGCATGAAACCGGCCATTTTGGCGACGCCCGCGGATGGAAGAGATTAGGGCGGAAGCAGTTGCGTTAGACTGTTCCATGACGGAAGAAGTAGAGAAGCTTTGAAGAGTGATTCTCGGTAAGTTTGTGCGGAAAATGAGGCGGACCCGCCATTATATACTACGAAAATAGCGTGACTCCTGGTGAGACGGTGGAAAGTAAGGCTCGTCACTGAATCAGGCTTGGGAATGAGGTGCGGTGAGGCAACGCGCCGACAGCAGTTGACGATCCGTAGCAAAGCTGAACTGGACGCAAGGCCTGGTGGCAATCTGTGGTAATGACTGTGTCACTGAATCAGGCTTGGGGAGGGAGGTGAGGTATGGTAACGCGTTCACAGCAGGTGACGTTCCCTTACTCAGTTGAGAACTGGACGCTAGGCCTGGCGGATATCTGGGGTAAGTGGCTGTGGTGGTCGGCCAGGGTTGGTACCGAACGCTAGGCATGGTGTAAGGTGAGGTTAGTAGCTATGGTCGTGGGCTAGGGTTGGCACAGAGTTCTCAAGTTTGAAATCTCAAAATTCAAACAGCCGAACAGAGCAGATAGAGCAAGGCCAAGGGTTTGAAAACGTCGAGCAAGGAGATGGACAAGGAACAATGCCCAGGGTTGTTTCAGGGCTCGCGTGAAGCTCTCCTAGCCCTCGATAACGAAACCCTCAGCACATCCAACCGCTGAGGTTGAGTTCATGAAGGGGGGTTGGGTGTAGGTTCAGAATTGTTTGAAAAACAAACCATTTAGTTTTGTATATATAAAACGGTAAACATTCACTCAAAAGGTCCAGTTGAAAACCATAACATTTCGGGAACGACAACTAATTGGGGTGACGAATGTATAGCATCATAAGTGTCTCAGTTTCTGGGAATAAAAGTTGCAAGACAAATAAACGCACCGTCGAAACGGCATCATCCGCAGTCCAGGTCTGTACACGCACGGTTTCACATCATTCGACGTCCAGACCTGCGTCACTCGTTCGCCACTCGTGCGAATGGCACCAAACTGATTTGACACCCTTCTAATATCCTTCATGACTCAGTGGTGTGAAGAAAACTTGCAAAAATGAGCAAAGCAACGTCGAAACGGCATCATCTGCAGTCCAGGTCTGTACTCGCGCGGTTTCACATCATTCGACGCTCGGAACTGCGTCACTCGTTCGCCAGTCGTGCGAATGGCACCAAGATGATTTGACACCCTTCTAATATCATTCATGACTCAGTGGTGTGAAGAAACCTTGCAAAAATGAGCAACGCAGCGTCGAAACGGCATCATCTGCAGTCCAGGTCTGTACTCGCGCGGTTTCACATCATTCGACGCTCAGAACTGTGCCACTCGTTCGCCAGTCGTGCGAATGGCACCAAGATGATTTGACACCCTTCTAATATCATTCATGACTCAGTGGTGTGAAGAAACCTTGCAAAAATGAGCAACGCAGCGTCGAAACGGCATCATCTGCAGTCCAGGTCTGTACTCGCGCGGTTTCACATCATTCGACGTTCACAACTGCGTCACTCGTTCGCCAGTCGTGCGAATGGCACCAAGATGATTTGACACCCTTCTAATATCATTCATGACTCAGTGGTGTGAAGAAACCTTGCAAAAATGAGCAACGCAGCGTCGAAACGGCATCATCTGCAGTCCAGGTCTGTACTCGCGCGGTTTCACATCATTCGACGTTCACAACTGCGTCACTCGTTCTCCAGTCGTGCGAATGGCACCAAGATGATTTGACACCCTTCTAATATCATTCATGACCCAGTGGTGTGAAGAAACCCTGCAAAAATGAGCAACGCAGCGTCGAAACGGCATAATCTGTAGTCCGGGTCTGTACTCGCACGGTTTCACATCATTCGTTGTTCAATACTACGTCATTAGTGCGAATGGAACCATATTGAGTTGACGCCCTTTTTATATAATTAGTGACACCTGGTTTTATACTAATGATTACTCATGATTGTCTTCATATGTAACGTTGTTTATGGAAATATCAAGGTTTTTAACCGTTTTGTAACGAGGGTGTTGACATGCTGGTTGGTTGACGGCTCTGTTTCCGTTGGTTGTTGGTCACGAACGTGTGCTTGTTCGAGCGTGTTGCCAGGCAGGTGTATTCAACAAACTTCACGTAGCCTGACCTGCTGGGCCTGCGGGGAGTAGGCTCTCAACTTCACTCTCTTCTTCAAATACGCACGATAGAACGAGAGCAGAGCACCACCCGTTCATTACCTGCTGACTTACTAGTCATCACAATTCCCGCCGATTTTTTCACGGTTTCTACGTGTTTTTAGAGGACACGATAACGACTGCAACGCGATATTTAATTACCAACTCCAGCATCAGATCGGCAGAGCACCACCCGTTCATTCCCATCTGTTATCAGCGTCTTCTCGGAGTTCCTTCAGCCTGTTACGAGACGCTGGTATTCGTTTTCCGTAACGATACCGACTTCACAAGTGATACGGTATTTTACTAGCATGGCGCGCGCCCGGTTACACGCCTCTAACAAGCGCGACTCAGTAAATGACGTTAAGATGCTAAGTTTACAAAACAGTCCGTGGCGTAACCTGTCCAAATGCACCTCCGAACGCAACCTGTCCAAGCTGTGAGCCACAAATCTGAACGGACGTCGTCACAAGCCGCGAGACGACTAAGGCGCGCTGGCACTACAGGGCACCTATTTTTCAAACAACAAAACCTACGAGCATAATCACGCCATGTATTCTGAAAAAACACCACTTAAGCTTGACAATGCCTGATGGGACATGTATTCTGCTGTTGTTATTCATGTCTATATTTCTGACTTGACATGAGCAATCATAACATTCTTTTATGGCTGATGCCTGAACAATACCACTAATACAATGTACAGAGATCTCAAGCGCCTTACATCGGGTATATCCAAAACAGTCTGTATCTGTTTTGCAAACCCATATAGAGCTACCTATAATATCGAACACCTCAATGAAGGGTTTGCGAGTGATTTGGTTGTTCAAATCTCGGATTTGGAAATGCGACTCGCTCTGGCGACAAATCTCAGCCACTCCCTGTACTCCAACCAATCAAATGCAGCTAGACTCTAGTACAGTTCTAATCCCAGCCCTTGCCAGCCCACCAAGTAACCAGAAGCCTCGCGACTCCAGCAAGAAACCCGTCACCCTTCCCCCCTTCCCTACCCAGCCAAATTTCTCTCACAGATAGTACGCACAACAGTCTAGAAGCCCATTCATAATCAGAGCAAGCCTGGCTGATTCACAGTTCTTTTCAGAACCCTCTGTAATGTGGTCTCTTCTCAATGGGCCCTAATCTTCATGCCATACGGCTACGGTGCGTTATAGCACTACTTCTATTGGTGCTTCACGCTGAACGCCTTGACATGACATCTAGCTTTGAATCACCAATGCCTCACGGATGCTGCGAGATGGAAAGGGTATTTTTGCCGACAGATGGTTTCAGCTGCGAGACTTGTGAGGTTTCATTCGACAACGAGGTTGCACTCTCAAACCACGAGCGCAGCGACAAATGCTTGCTTGCTCATGCGCGTGCAAGAGCAAATAAATCTCGTAACACTGAGAATGACGTGCTTCCGGGAATCCCATACAACTCCAGTGTCATTCCCGAGGTTGGAGTGGCGACGACAGAAGACACGCACCATGTGGAAACGCCATTCTCAGCAGCAGCGATGGAATGTGACCGTGAGGAGGTTTTCCACGACGCCAACTCCTTCTTTGCCGACATTGACGAACCCGAAGAGACACCGGAGTTCGACACGCTGTTGGAAACCTTCAAGTTCTTAGCTTCATGCAACAAGGGAGTCGGTCTCAGCGCGCATGACGTGTGGTGGTTTTTCAAGCTCATCAAGCACGCCGGATTTGACATAAAAGCATTGAAGAATTGGAACACGAAGCATGCGGTCGATAAATACGCTCTGGAGAAGCTGGGCATTGAGAAAAGGCGCTACAAAACCGAAAATGTTAGCGTTTCCGGGTGGCACAGGATATTCAAGGTCAAATTTATTGACCCTGTAGAGGTACGTCCTCACACCGTTTTTGGTTGTTGTACACATGAATCCCACTAATCCAAGCCTTGTACTCGCTAGATCATCTCGCTTTTACTCATCATGCCATGCATGGCAGTGAGTAAGGCTGCCATGCATGGGCCCATTGCTCCTCACGCCTTTTCGCCAATCACCCATGCATGGCAGTGAGTAAGGCTCCCATGCATGGGTGTATTGCTCATCACGCTTTTACTCATCATGCCATGCATGGCAGTGAGTAAGGCTGCCATGCATGAGTCCATTGCTCATCACGCTTTTCGCCAATCACCCATGCATGGCAGTGAGTAAGGCTCCCATGCATGGGTGTATTGCTCATCACGCTTTTACTCATCATGCCATGCATGGCAGTGAGTAAGGCTGCCATGCATGAGTCCATTGCTCATCACGCTTTTCGCCAATCACCCATGCATGGCAGTGAGTAAGGCTCCCATGCATGGGTGTATTGCTCATCACGCTTTTACTCATCATGCCATGCATGGCAGTGAGTAAGGCTGCCATGTATGGGTGGACTGCTCATCACCATTTGACGCATGATGTCAGGGAACCATAGGCTGCCATGCATGGGTCCATTGCTCATAACGCTTTTACTCATCCTGCCACGCATGGCAGTGAGTGAGGTTGCCATGCATGAGTGCATTTCTCATAAATCTTCTATCTCCATGGTTGTAATGCTTCCCCAGCTCCTTACCATTAACAGATCCGTTTGGGAATGTCTACACCGTCTGGCCGAAGCTATACTCGTATGTTGCCGA